CTCCCCTCGGGTCTCCCCAGGGGAACGAGCAGTGACGTGATCATAAAAACTCGGCCACGCAGAAGTCTTCGTGCGCGACGTCTCGAGAATAGGAGAACGAAGAGTGGCATAAACATAAAACTCGGAGGTCCGCGCGGAATTCTCGGATCGGCGCTGGACCCCGCAAGGCGGCGCCTCCGGCGCCGATCCGAGAAATCCGCGCGGACCTCCGAGTTTTTACGTTTATGTCACTTTTCGTGCCCCGATTCTCGAGGCGTCGCGCACGAAGACTCTTGCGTGGCCTGAACGGGGCTCCCCCCGGAGATCCAACGCATTGAGACAGTCCAGACGGCGGCTTTTCATACCTTTGGACCCCCAGGGGCCCTCGCCGGGCCTCGGGACCGCCAGAAAACGACTCAGGATGAAAGACCCGTCCCGGGGAATGGGTCGAGACTTCCCGGGACCCGGTATTGGAAAAATCACGACGTCGGATCTCTGGGCCCGTCTCCCCGGCCTCTTCGGCCGTCCCCAGCCTCGCGCGTCCCCTGCCCCGGTGCTCTGGCGCGTCTTGCTGCTGCTCGGCGGGCGTCTGATCGTCTTGCGCCCGCGGATCGCTCGGCGGCGCGCACGCCGGGGTGTAGGGGGGAGGGGGAAAGGCTTCTAAGAAGCAGGGGTGCTCCTCAGAAGTGCCCCCCCCCTTACCCCTCTGCGCGCTCCGCCAAATGACACCAGTTTCTCGAAACGTTGGAGCTCTGGGCTTCGTCTCCCCATGTCACCGAGCGCGTTCCGCTCCTCGCAAAGCACCTACTCGCAAACGCCCGACAAAACATGTCTTACTATGTGTTGTGGATCGTAGATCCACCGCGGCGGATCCAGGCCACCTGCGCGTAGTTCTTTGAGAGTAGTGGAGCGCGGGGATCTCCGAGCCTTCTGACAAGGAGGAGGAGGAGGGGGCGGAGGAGGGGGAGGAGGGGGAGGAGGAGGAGGAGGGGGAGGAGGAGGAGGAGGAGGAGGAGGAGGAGGAGGAGGAGGAGGAGGTGGGTGAGAAGGGGGAGGAGGAGGAGGAGGAGGAGGAGGAGGAGAAGAGGAGGAGGGGGGAGGCGGAGCAGGGGGGTAGGAGGGGAGGAGGAGGAGGAGGAGGGGGAGCAGGGGGAGGAGGAAGGGGGGGAGGAGGCGGAGGAGGGGGTAGGAGGAGGAGGAGGGGGAGGGGAGGAGGGGGGGGAGGGGGGGAGGAGGAGGAGGAGGAGCGATCCTGGCCAGGGCCGCTCCCGGGCCCAGGAGGGGGGCGGGGGGCCGGCCAGGGTCGACGCGGCAGCGGCGCGGCCGGCGGGCGCCCCCCCGCAGGAGGCGAGGCCGCCGGGGCCGACGCCAGGAGGCTCTCTTCCGAGGAGGACGCCGTCGGGGGCGACGATAGGGGGGGGGGCAGGCATCGGGGGGGACCCTGATCCGAGGAAGGCATCTATACACCACCACCGTGCCAAGGCAGGGCCTTCCTGGGCCCCAGGATGGTGTGTACGCCCTCCTGGCCGAGGCCAAGAGGGTCTAGAAGTCTAGACACCATCCTGGGGCCCAGGATGGCCCTGCCTTGGCACGGTGGTGGTGTACAGATGCCTTCTGCGAACCTGAGCTCCGACGCTCCAGCAGAAATTGGAGCGGCGGGATTCTGGCCGTTTTGTCGGCCTCCGCGGGGCCCTCGCCGGGCCTCGGGAGTCTCAGAAAACGACCCGGGACGAAACTCCTGTGCCGGGGAAGTGGACTGGACCCTCGGGGGTCCACGCACCGACAAAAAATTGGAGCAGCCGGATGTCAGGGGATGCATCGACCCCCACTCGCCCACTGATCTCCGATAGCCGATAGGGTCTGATGGCCCCAACCCGCCCAGGAAGGTGCGGATTCACTATCGGGGGCCTAGCGCCGATCTATCGGCGATGCATCGCCGATTCCAGGTCGATGCATCCCCCCTATGCCCGTTCCCCCCTGTCGTTGCCCCCCCACGAGGAGCTGTACCCAGAGGACGGGATCCTGGTCAGACCGTACGATGAGGACCCTCATCGGTCCCATCGGTGGCGCTCGGATTGGAGAAGAAACATCGGCGGCGAGAGTGGGGGGGGGAGTGAGAAGGAGGAGGCCCTCTCAGAAGGCGGCGCTGGCGGGGCTTTCAGAAGCCCTCCAGCCTTTGAGAAGTAGAAACTTTCTGTGTCTTCGGGGAAGGCTTAGACAACTAACTGCTCAGAAGGTCGGCGGACTTCCGTGCCTTCCAAGACGGCCCTTCCAAGAAGACTAACACCATTATTTTCATTAGTAATGGAATTATGGTTTATGATGTTAATGATACTAATGGTATTAAGAATGTTTATACTATGAATACTATTGTTATCGACAATGCTACTAGCATTATCAAGAGTAAGACACATACAAATAAGACGAACACAACTACTCATAATATTCATTGGCTGACGCTGCACCGCCGACCCCTTGGGGCGGCAGTAAGAATGAAAAACGGAGTTTGCAGAACGATTTCATGGGAATTTTGGGGTTTCAGCTTCTTGGGATTTCGTCGGGGGCGGTTGGCGGATCGCCGCTCTGCTCTTTGGCTTCTCTGGGCTCTCCTGGCAGCACTTTTGAGGCCTCTTGGGAGCCGTTTTGAGGCCTCCAGGAGCCTCTTTTGGACCTCTCGGGGGCTTCGTGGGAGCCTCTTGGGGGCCAATTGGCGCCTCCTCAGGTTTTTTCCGGGGGCCCAGTGCTCGAAATGTTCATTCGGGTTCCCCCTCTGGGCCTCCTCTAGGGGCCGTCCTGGGGCCCTCCTAGGTCGTTTTGGAAGCTTCTGGGGCCGTCTTGGGGCCCTCTTGGGCCGTCTTGGAGCCGTCTTGGGGGCCTCTTGGACCATCTTGGGTCGATCTTAAAGGCTTCTTCAGCCGTTGTGGGCCTCGTGAAAGCCCAAGAGGCGAATGTACTAAAGATATAGGTTTTCCCTGTGGAATGGGATGATTTTTGCTTCTGGAGGGCCTCTTGGGACGCCTCTTGGTGGCTTCTTGGGGCGTCTTGGGGGCCTCTGGGACCGTCTGGAGGCGATCTTGGGCGTCTTGGAGCGATCTTTCAGCGACTCGTAGCCCTCTTCAAACTCCATTCCTTTTCCATATAAATAACTTCTCCCTGTCGCACCCCGAATCTAATTTTTAGGGCGGGCCGGGAGTTTCGCCTGAGAGTTCTTCACCATCTATGACGCTGAATCAAACATTGACAACAGTTTTACAGATGGAGGGCGGGTCGTTTCAAAATGTGGCTCTCGCGTTAGCGCCGCGCCGCGCATATTCGTTCTAACAAATTGTAACAAGAGTGTCACGGATTGAGGGCGGGTCGTTTTCACAATGCGGCTCTCGCTTTAGCGCAGCGCACATTCGTTTTTAACATTTGCAAGCGCTTCACATATTGAGGGCGTTTTTTTTCAAAATGTGGCTCTCGCCTTAGCGCCGCGCACACTCGTCCTAAAAAATTGCAAAAGTTTCACGGATTGAGGGCGGGTGATTTTCGAAATGTGGCTCTCGCCTGGGCGCCGCGTACATTCGTCTTACAAACTTGCGAGGAGCTTCACGGATTGAGGGCGGCTCCTTTTCAAAATGTGTATCGCGCCTCAGCGCCGCGCACATTTGCAAGAGTTTTTCGGATACCCATGATCAACGTACCAGAGTATGCGTTCTGGAAAGATTCGAGATTATGCGGGTGCAACAGTTACGTTGTTTCGCTGTGTTGAAGTCCCAGGAATGGCGTTCTGGCACGATTCAGGCTCGTCCAGACGCAACAGTCAAGTTGATCCGTGGCGTTGGACTCCCGATAACAATGTTTTGGCATGCTTCAGAGTCTTCAAACGGATGTTTTCCGACGAGGCAATTTCCTCAGTGGAGATGAACCGTTGGAGGAGCCTATGAAGAGGGAGCTTGGATGGAGGGTCAATTCCAACAACGTTGATGACTTTTGGATTTACACTGGTCCTCCGCCTTCTCCTCCTCCTCCTCCTCCTCCTCCTTCCCCTCCTCTTCCTCCTCCTTCCCGTCCCCCTCTTGGCCCGTTTTGGGCCCCTTGAGGCTCCAAGGGTGCGGCCGCCATTTTCGCCCCCCTCCCCCCTCTCCAAACTGGCCGCACCAGGCTCCCGGGGGAGGGGTTTGGGGAGAGGGAAGCATCTCACACGCCGTGACCCCAAGGGGTCGGCGGATTACTGAGAAGAGTAGTAAGACAATTATGAATCATAGTTTCGTAATGAGAAATGGTAGTAATAAGAAAATCAATGACAACGGGAATGACGATAATAACACGACTTTGATGAACCCTTAGAAGAATAATGATGATAATGTGAAGAACCATACTATTACTAATAGTAATACTGGTAATAAGCGGCATACATGTAATCTTCTGGGGCTGCTCCGCGCGGATTTCTCGCATTGATGCTGTGGTCTCCTGTGTGGCGCCATTCTGCGCCGCCCCTGGCGCGCTCTGCGCGCCAGGGAGTGTGCTCTGGCGCGGACCCGGACCTCCAAACGTTGAGGTTTATGTTTTTTTTTTTTTTTTTTTTTTTTTTTTTGTTTTTCTTCGTTTTTCTCCCTCTATCAGAGGAGGGTGCCCGATACCGCTACCCTTCTCTTGCCTTGACCCTTCCAGGCCTCCTAGGAGGCCCTCGCCTCCACTGCTGCATTCGCTTCGAAGTTCTGGTCTGAACTCACCCTGGGCGAGCTCCGTGGAGCAGCGGAATCTGCATTTCTGTGCCACCCCAGAGGATCGAGAAACAAGAAACAGCATAGACATGATGGCTTGGAGCTCCGCACGGATTTCTTGTATCGGCGCTGCGCCCCCAAGGCGGCGCCTCCGGCGCCGCCCCTGGCGCGCTCCGCGCGCCATGAAAGGGGGGTCCAGCGCGGATCCAAGAAAACCACGCGGACCCCCAAGAGATGATGTAGATGCTACTTGTTCTTGCTCCAGAGGACCCCAATCGGTGGCTCGTGTTCCTGCACGTGATAGGCATCGGGTACATGCTTCTCGGGCTGAATACGGTCTGTGACATCTACTTTACCGGTGCGCTTGAGGAGATGGTGACGGAGTGGCAGATCAAACCTGACGTGGCCGGCGCCACGTTCATGGCTGCAGGTGGGTCAGCGCCTGAGTTTTTCACCGCGCTGATCGGTACCACTATCGCAATGAGTGATGTGGGCTCCAGCACAATCGTTGGCTCCGCTGTGTTTAACGTGCTCTTCGTGATCGGCCTCTGCGGCTTTGTTGCGAAAGAGGCGATCGAGCTGACGTGGTGGCCACTCTTTCGGGACTGCACGTATTACATATTTGGTCTCATCATACTAGCGTTGGTCGTCAAGGACAGGGAAATCGCCGTTTGGGAGGGCTGTATATCCAGTTGCCTGCGGCAAGCCCCGCCAACATGCCAGCCCATCATTTTGGGTGGCGACTGTTCGAGGGGGTACGAGAGGCCGTCACGTGTGACACCTCCTGTCTCCAGGAATTGGAGCGCCATGGTGATGATGATGATGATGATGATGATGATGATGATGATGATGATGATGATGATGATGATGATGATGATGATGATGATCATGATCATGATTATGATGATGATGCTGATCTGATGCTGATGCTGATGCTGGTGATGATGTAATAGTTGTTGTTGTTGTTGGATAGGAGTGGGCGCTGCGCCCCGGCGCGCCCCCCAACAACAACAACAACAACAACAACAACAACAACAATAAATTGTAAGGCGGTCCCAAGCGAGAGCGCGATTCCTGAATAAAATGCGAGGAAGTCTCGGGCGGGAGCGGGGGTCCTGGCTAAATTGTGAAGAAGTCTCAGGCGGGAGCCGTTGTTGTTGTAACCCGGGGGCCAGTGGCACAGTTTGAGCATCAAGACTTTCCCTGCCAAAAAAGAGGGTGCGAGCGTCGAGGGGCACACTTTGATTGCGAAAAAACAATATGCACTGGCGAAGGCGGATCAACAATGATTATTCTTCTGAAGTGAGAGCTCAACAACAACACCACCAACAACAACAACAACAACAACAACTACAACTACAACTACAATTACAACTACAACTACAACAACAACAACGCGGACGGCTCTCGCTCGAGACTTCCTCGCAATTCACGGAGGGAGGATGGATTCCTACACTGGGGCCTCGGCGACCCCCCCCCACACCCCTACGTCCCCACACTCCCACGCCCCCAGACACCCAAAGGGACGCCCCGTAGGGATCCAACTTCAGCCGTATGGACCCATAGGGGATCCTGCCACAGCTGTGGTAGGATCGCAACAGGCATCGTGCCAGAGCTGCATCGGTTCTTATAGGGATCGTATCAGAGCTGCGAGGATCCTCATAGGGATCGTTCCAGAGCTGGAAGGCTTCGGGCAACTTTCGGAGCACCTCTCAAACGTCTCGTGGCCCCGCATGAGGCTCCCCCTAAGGCTTCGGGACCATCTCGGAGCACCCCTCACACGTTTCGTGGCCCCGCAGCAGGCTCCACCGAAGGCTTCGAGCAAATGTCGGAGCACCCCTCGCACGTTTCTTGGTCCCGCAGGAGGCTTCACCGAAGGTTTTGGGCCCATTTAGGAGCACTCCTCGGGCTTCGGGCCCATTTCGTCTCAGGCTTCCTGCTGGCCTCCAACGAGACCTCATACGGCACCCCTTTTAAAACCTCAAAGCATGAAGTCTACGAAGGCTTCTCCCTATATGGATCTGATCGCAGCTGGTAGTGCCCTTATAGGGATCCTCTCGCAGCTGGCACGATCCCCATATTGTTCCTATCACAGCTGACACGATCCGTTTGAGGGATCTTGTCGCAGCTGGTAGAGTTTTTGTATGGATCCGATCGCAGCTGGCACGATCCCTATAGGGATCCTGTTACAGCTGATCGGATCCCTATAGAGAGCTTATTACAGCTTGTAGGATCCCTTGAGGGATCCTGTTACAACTGGTAGGGCCCCTTTATAGGGATCCTGTTACAGCTGGTAGGATCCCTATATGTATCCTATTATAGCTGGTCGGATCCCTACAGGGATCCCTGGACAGCTGGTCGGATTCCTATATGGGTTCCTATGGCAGCTGGTGGGATCGCTGTATGGGGTCCTATTGCAGCGGGTCGGATCCCTATAGAAATCCGAGTGCAGCTGGTAGGGTCCCTTGAGGGATCCTATTTCAGCTTGTAGGATCCCTGTAGGGATCCTATTCCAGCTGGAAGGATCACGGAAGGGATTGCAGCTGGTAGGATTTTTGTATGGATCCTATTGCAGCTGGGAGAATGTCCATATATGGATCCTAGTGCAGCTGGCAGGATCCTTCTAGGGATCCTTTGACAGCTGGTAGGGTCCCTGCTACGATCCCTATGAGAATCTAATTGCAGCTGGTAGGATCCCTACAGGGATCCTGTGACAGCTGGTAGGATCCCTGTAGGGGTCTTATTGCAGCTGGTAGGATCCCTACAAGGATCTTATTGCAGCTGGCCGGATCCCTATAGGGATCCTTTGACAGCTGGTAGGATCACTGTAGGGATCCTATTGCAGCTGGTAGGATCCTTGTAGGGATCCTATTGCAGCTGGTAGGATCCCTACACGGATCTGGTAGGATTCTTCAAAAGGTTTCCGTAGGATCCCTAGAGGGTTTCTGTAGGATCCGTATGGTGAGTGTATTACAGCTGGGAGGAACCCTGTAATGATCTTAATGCAACTCGTAGGATTCGTATAAGGGGTTCTATGACAGCTGGTAGGACCCGTGTAAGGATCCTATTGCAGCTGGTAGAATGCCTATACGGATATTATTGCAGCTGGTAGGGTCCCTAGAGGGATCCAATGACAGCTGGTAGTGTCCCTGTAATGGTCCTATTGCAGCTGCTAGGGTCCATATAAGGATAATATTGCAGCTAGTTGGATCCCAATGAGGATCTTATTGCAGCTGTTCGGATCCGTATAGGGATCCTTCGACAGCTGGTAGGATCACTGTAGGGATCCTATTGCAGCTGGTAGGATCCTTGTTGGGATCCTATTGCAGCTGGTAGGATCCCTACACGGATCTGGTAGGATTCTTCAAAAGGTTTCCGTAGGAGCGCTAGAGGGTTTCTGTAGGATCCGTATGGTGAGTGTATTACAGCTGGGAGGAACCCTGTAATGATCTTAGTGCATCTAGTAGAATTCGTATAAGGGGTTCTATGACAGCTGGTAGGACCCGTGTAAGAATCCTAGTGCAGCTGGTAGAATGCTTATACGGATTTTATTGCAGCTGGTAGGGTCCCTAGAGGGATCCTATGACAGCTGGTAGTGTCCCTGTAATGATCAGATTGCAGCTGCTAGGGTCCATATCAGGATCCTGTTGCAGCTAGTTGGGTCTCAATGAGGATCTTATTGCAGCCGGTAAGATCCTTGTAGGGATCTTATGACAGTTGGTAGGATCCCTGTTGGGATTTATTTTCAGCTGGTAGGATCGATGTAGGGATCCGATTGCAGCTGGTAGGGCCCCTGTAGGGATCCTATTGCAGCTGGTAGGATCCCCATACGTTTTCTGTAGGATCCGTATTGGGTTTCTGTAGGAACCCTATTAGGGTTTCTGTAGGATCCCGATTGACTTTCCGTAGGATCCGTATAGTTTTTTCTACAGGATCCTCTATAGGGTTTCGATCGGATCCCTATAGGATTTCGGTAGGACTCCTATTTTGTTTTTGTTGGATCCTTATAGGGTTTCTGCAGGATCCTAGTAGGGTTTCTGTAGGATCCTTGTAGGGTTTCTGTAGGAGGCCTAGAGGGTTTCTGTATGATCCTTATAGGGTTCCTGTAGGATCCTAACTCGGGTTTCTGTGGGATCTTTGTAGGGTTTCTGTAGGATCACTATAGTGTTTCTGTAGGATCCTCACCATGCTTCCTGTAGGATCCCTTCGTTTTTTGTCGGATGCTTATAGGGTTTCTGTAGGATCCTCATAGGATGTCTGTAGGATCCCTATAGGGTTTCTGTAGGATCCCTTTCTAGGGTTTCTGTAGGATCATTTTTTCAGGTTTCTCAAGGATCCCTACAGGTTTTCTGTAGGATCCCTATATGGTTTCTTCAGGATCCCAGTCGGGTTTCTACAGGAGTCGTAAAGGGCGTATAGGATTCACCGTTTCGCTAGCGCGCACACGTAAGCCACCACTCCGATTCGACGCCCACGCGCAAGCCCACGCCCACGCCCACGCCAACGGGCCGATTTCGGAGCACTCCTCACACGTTTCGTTGCCCCACGAGGGGTCTTCACGGGATGCATCGGGCCAGTTTCGGTGTCCCCCTTACACGTTTCGTGGCCCCACGAGTGATCTCCACGGGACGCCCCTGCATCATTTCGGAGCATCCTTCACACGGTTCGTGGTTTCACGAGGGGTCTTCTCGGGACGCCTCGGGCTGATTTCGGTGCACCCTTCATGCGTTTCGTGGCCCCACGAGGTGTCCCCACCAAGAGCAAGGCGAGGTATTTCGGATGCTTCGGGGCCACTTTGGAGCATCCCTCGCACGTTTCGCTGCCGCTCGAGGGTCTCGACGGGGCGCCTCGCGCTCATGTCGGAGCACCTCTCGCACGTACCGTGGGCTGCTCTGGGGGTGCTGCAGGGCCGTCTCCGGCGAGGTCTGGGAAATCTTGCGAATCCGTTGGCGAATTCCAAACTACAGGCGCCCTCGCGTGGGACATCTGGAGACCTGGCCCCTGGAGCCTCCCCAAGGATGCCTCCGTTTCCGGCGAGACTCGGGAAATCCAAGGAGATGAAAGAATCTGGCGAATAATTCCAAATTGGCGCCCTCGCGTGGGATATCCTCAGAAAAACCGGCCCCCTGAGCCTCCCCAAGGGGCCCTTGGAGGCCCCCCTGTTCCGTTTCAGGCGACGTCTGGGAAATCCCCGGGGGGTGGAGGGGAAGGATGAAAATGAGAAGGAGGAGAGGGACGAGGAGGACGAGGTGGAGGAGGACGAGTCGTGTTGGAGGAGGCAGAGGAGGAAGAGGAGGAAAAGGAGGAGGAGGAGGAGGAAAAGGAGGAGGAGGAGGAGGAGGAGGAGGAGGAGGAGGTGGAGATTGCCAGCATGGCAGCGGGGGGCGCCACGCCCGCCCGATCCTCACCCTCCTGATTTTCAGTCTCGCCATCCTCGCTCTCCTGGCCCTCCTTCTCCACATTCTCTCCCTCCTTCTCCACGCTCGCTTGATCTTCGCCCGCGTGACTCTCGCTCTCCTGATCCTTCCTCTCGCGGGCCTCGCCCTCCTGATTCTCGCGCTCATTCTCATGCCGATCATGCTCCTCTCGCCGAGAAGCGCGCGTCCTTTCTTCCATATACAGACTCCCGATCAACCGCGGAGCGGCCAGCTGGTATTGCTGCTGATGCTGATGTTGTTGTCT